CAGCCACCTTTGCTCACATCCCTCCACACTCATCACTACGTGCCCTGCACATCCTCGCCGGCACGAGCCCTCCTCAAGGGTCTATCCAGTGTGCTCACTGCTGTATTCCCAGCGTCCAGGGCAAGTGTCTGGCACCCGCAGGCTCTCCAAAAGCATCAAACTGAAGTGAGAATGAGAGCCCACAGGCCCAGCCACAAACTGGAGAGCGAGGGAGGGCCCGCAGGCCCGGCCACATTTACACATCACGTTTTGCACATTTCGCACATTTCTCAGGTTACAGTCGTCAGCTTCCACATCTAAGTTCCTCCTTTGCCACCTCCTAGATGTACAGTCTGGGGTCCCAAAGGCACCAAGAGCTAAGTGCTCAGCTGCCAACAGAAAGGCTGGCAGTTCAGACCCAGCCAGCAGCTCCACAAGAGGAAGCCTTGGTGATGTGCTTCGACAGAGATGACAGCCAAGAAAACCATGAAAAGCTGTTTTAGCCCCGTACAGGGCTGCTCTGAGTCGGCGCCAACCCAACGGCACCCGACACCAACAAACTGCATAGCAGTAAGTGAAGAAATCCTACCTTTGGACAGGCTGAACGATCAGGCGTGTGTATGGAGTGGGGAGTGTGCCCAAGACCATGCACAGGGTTGGCAGATGGTGTTTCTACAAGCGTATTGGTATTCACTTTCCATACAGCAGCCCACATACAATGTCTCATGACATTGGCTGCAATTTCCCACAATGCTCCCCCACTTCCTCCCCATAGTTACCTCTTCCCTGTTTCTATAAGAATTCCCAGGTATATAGTAGAGCTGACAAGGGGCAAGGTTGTAGTCACTTCTTGGCCACAGCCAGCTACCCAGAGGGAGCGAGTACTTGGACCTGTGGGCTGTGGACCATAGTCCCAGGGGATATCAAGCTCAATTATCATAATATACTACACAAAACATTGTTCAACCTCCTACTTTGGCGAGTAGCAACTGGGATCTTAAAGGCTTGCAAGTGGCCATCTGGATGCAACAATGGGTCTGTCCTCGTCCAGAACAAAGTACAATAAAGAAATCCAAAGATTCATGGAAACGATTTAGTCCAAGCAACTGGTACACCATGCGATCCTCAGCCTGTATGACTATGAGACCAGAAGAACTAGATGGTGCCCGGCTACCACTGTCAACCACTCAGAGGGGGA